GAGAGAGAATCATTGATCGGCTGCCTCCAGCACACCCCACACACGGGATCCAGCCTGCAACTCAGGCCTGTGCCCCGACTGGGAATCGAACCGTGACCTCCTGGTTCATAGCTTGATGCTCAACCACTGAGCCACCCCGGCCGGGCTATGGCCTCTTTTTCTGAACGAGCCCTGGTTCAGTTATTGCTTGGCTCTCCCGCAGGCCCACACTTCATGCTCAGACCTGAGTCTGTAGGTACACAGGGTTAGGGTGCCGATTTGTCCAACTCAGAACCCAGTGCTTTTTCTCTGCCTGCGTTCCTCCCACCATAAAATGGGGGTGTTAATAGCACGTGCATCATAGGGGTGCTGGGAGGGATGCTGCGGTGTGTGAGAGCTCGGAAAAGAGGCCTGGCTCGCAGAGAGTGCGCGGTAAATGCCGCTGTGTTACTGTGCTTGTTTTCTTTACTGCCCCAGGCATTGATTCATGGCGCATTCATGGGAAGAGAAACCTAGTTACAGGCTTGGGGGGCTGTTAGCCAAGACGGGGAACGAAGCTGTTTCCCAGGCTCAGTGCAGGCTGAGGCGGGGCCAACGCAGATCCTTGGGAGCCACAGAGTGAGCTGCCAGCCCTGGCCGGGTAGCTCAGGTGGTTAGAGCATCATCCCGATACCCCAAGGATTTGGGTTCGATCCCCAGTCAGGGCCCATACAAGAATCAACTAGTGAATGCATAAATAAGTGGAACAACAAATCGATGTCTCTCTCTCTCTCTCTCTCTCTCTCTCCCTCCCTCCCTCTTCCCCTTTCCTTTCCTCTCTCTCTCTGGAAATTAATAAATAAAATAAGAAAAAGGCTGAGTGCCTGATTGAGCCACACCCAGGCCTGGCTCTGCCTGGGAACAAGAAACCCTCAGACACGGATAAACCCCCGCAGGGCACGGTGCGCCCTTTACAACACGCTGGGAGCAGGAAGAACAAAGGGTTCTGAGCAGAGCCCAGGGTTTCGAGCCACAGTTTGCCCCGGGATGTGCTGGAGGCCTCGTGGGAAGCGGTTCTAGACTCTTCATGACCTGCAGTTCACCTTTACCCGGTAATTACAGGTGGGACCTGTGTGTGGTGAAAGGCGTGTCGGGAGGACACCAGTTCCCACCCAAAGGTACGTCTTTTGAAAGCCTTGGTGGTTAGGCCTGGGCTGGAGGGAGGGCTCTGGGCCTGCAGGAGGCTGCCGTCAGCGGGTCCCAGCCAGGGACTTGCCCGCAGCTCGGCCTCCTCAGTGTCAGTCAGTATAAATGACCCCAGATACCTTCCTCCATCCTGGGACCTTGGAGAAGACCAAGGCAAGTGGGCGAAGGTGCCTTTAGCTCCAGGTTTGCTGGCTGCCGCTGAAAAGAAGGTGATGGGAAATGCAAGCTGTCCTCGGGAAGAGGTGAGTCGATAAAATGGCATTCCAGACCAACCAAGGGGGCCTACGCTCCGAGCTGGGCGACCCACCTTGTTGAAGAATTGGGAACGCGTGATCTCGCAGCTGGAGTTTTTGCTGATCAGTCCGCCCTCTCAGGAAAACACACACAAAATACACCAGACCCACAGGTAAAAGAAAAGGTCTGAAACACAGGCGTGTCTGTAATTAAGCTTTGGGGTGACGTCTTCTGTCTGTCCACGCTCCCCACCGGTGGGGGTGGGGTTTTGGAACCAGGCCTTCCCCAGGTTTCCAAAAGAGACAGCCAGGGCTTGGGTGTCTTTTTTATTTTTTTATTTTTATTGATTGCAGAGTGGAAGGGAGAGGGAGAGAGAGACAGGAAATCAATGATGAGAGAGAATCATTGTTTGGCCGCCTCCTGTACGCCCAACACACGGGATATGCCCTGACCGGGAATCGAACCTTGACCTCTTGGTTCATAGGTGGACGCACAACCACTGGGCCACGCGGTCCAGGCCTGGCTGTCCACATCGCACCTCGGGCCGACACCCTCCTAAGCTCAGGGCAGCCTGCGCTGGCCCGGGACCTGTGAGCAGCATTGCAGCGGTCAGCCGTTTGCAGATGCTGCCCGAGAGAGATGGCGACGTGGTCCCCGCGGGTCACCAGCACTGGTCACCCTGGGAGATGGGGTCGGCGGAGCACTTTGGGGTTGAGGCGCCTACTGGGGGTGAGATGGTCCCCGGTACCCTCTGCGAGCGCCCCTCTGCGGGGTCCTGACCATCACCGCCAGCTCTGCAGATGCTGCGCTGGGCTGCCTCGCGTTTGGGGGACAATGCGGGGAGAGCTGGGCCGGCCTCGCGCCCCCCGGTAACCTGATCCCGGCGAGCAGTCTCCGGCCGACCCCGCCCC